CCGCGCTCCCCCCGCCGCCCCTTACCAGGTGCCGCCCCAAGCATGTGCTTGGGTGCCTGGTGCCGGCCCTGCACGGGGGGCGGGCTCCGGTGTGCGGCGCGCGGCGGCGCGGGCGCAGTGCTGGAGGGGGGTTCCGGCGGCGCTTGGCGGGGGGGCGGCGCAGCGCTCGGCGGGGGGGGCTCGGGGGGCGGCGCTTTTTTTTGCTGCTTGGGGCAGCAAAAAAGCTAGAGCCGGCCCTGGCCCTAGGCATTAGCGCGCCGCACCGTCATGCTAGGACGCCCCGCAGGGGGCCACTGGCAGGCAGCTAGCCCTTGTGGAAGGGAGCCCCGGCCGGGATCTCACCCAAGGCCTCATCCCTATGGATGTTCAAGCACAAATGGACACAGTCCCACAGGGATCCCTTATCCCAAGGAATGTGCAGCTGGGCGAGAAGTTGGGACCCTGAAGGTTCAGTGGCAGCTGCACGGAATATTGGGGCCCTGAGGGTTCGAAGCAGGTGCACAGAATGTTGGGCCTCTGAGAGTTCTGAAGCAACTGGATGGAATGTTGGGGCCCTCAGGGTTCTGAGGCAGTGGTGGGTGAGAAGTAGACAAACTTTATTCCACAGGAAGGGGTTTCATGCCTCAAACTTTGACCTGGGGAGGGGGGCGTGGGGGGTATCTATTGAGGCTCTCAGGATGGGATGGTACAAGCCCGCCCATATCTAAGGCACCTCTCCTCCAGCCTAAGGGGGAGGGGGAGCTACTGGACCCAGCTCTCAAATGATTTTGAGGGACAACAAGTGGGGAAAAAAACAGGGATACAAGTCTTAGGTTCAAAAACCTAGATCCAGCTGGGGCACCAAGCAGAGAACCCCGGACAGAGCTCACACCCATGCTCATGGCTCTGTGAAGAAGCGGCCAACTAATATCCCTGGTGGGCCGTGGGACCAGAGTGAAATATGCACTTGCCCACCAAAGCTCCTCACCCTTCACAAGGGATAGGAGGTCCCACCACTTAGTGCTAGGGCAGGACACAAGGCTGAGGAAGTGAAGGGTGTGGAGCACAAGCCTTGACAGCTATTCCAAGGCCTGGTCTACACTAGGACTTTAATTCGGATTTAGCTGCCTTAATCCGAATTAACCCTTCACCCGTCCACACTACAGAGCCAGTTAATTCGAATTAAAGGGCCCTTTAAATCGATTTCTGTACTCCACCTCGACGAACGGAGTAGAGCCTAAATCGATTTTGTTAATTCGAATTAGAGTTAGTGTGGACGCACACCACCGAATTACTGTGTTTAAGTTAATGGGGTAGTGTGGCCGCACACCACCGAATTAATGTGGTTTGAAACCGAATTAAGGTGCTTAGTGTGGCCGCGCACAATCGAATTTATACAACCTGTTTCCCAAATTCGAATTATCTAAATTCGGATTAATCCTGTAGTGTAGACATACCCCAAGGCACAGTTCAGAGGTGGGCCAGATGCATATCACACAGCTGGCTCAGATAATGCATAGGGGGTGGCCGGGGAGGCTCACGGGTCAGGGGCCCGATTGTACTTGGGGTGGATAGCTGAAGAGGCAGAAATGTCTTATGTATTTACACTTTCCCTGACAACCGCTTAGGAAGTTTGTCCATTGGAACTGGACTATGGCCACTACATCATTTCACTGTGGGGTCCATGAATGCTCAGCAGAAGGGGTGTGCATTAGGTAGGAAAGGCATCTATTAGTACTCAGCAGATGGGTCTAACAAAGATTTATTAAGGCAAAACACTCAGCAAGTTGTGATCAACTACTTACAAGTTGGAAGCTCATTAGGACTGCAGTCACTTCCAGCATCAGACAATACAGCTTCAACCTCCCTTTGTTACACAAACTTATAATTTTTTATCTTTTCTCATATATGTGTATTAGTCGCTCATTTCCATGTTAACTCTCCTCCCCCGTCAGTACATGTTTAGTGTTAGTTCAAACCGGTCTTTTCTAGCTTTTTAGTCATTGGATCTTTTCTTGTTCTCACTACCACGATTGCTCTGCAGTTTCTTACACATACATAGCTCTGCTTCTGCTGTTAAACGTTAACAGAACAAACTCTGAAAATCCACAGCAGGCTTCTGCCTATATATGCCTTCTTCGTTCCCAACAAGCTCTAGTTCACGTTTTGTGATTTTGTTTTGTATTGCGACCAGCTCTCTCTTGTTTCTAGCGGAATGTCTATCTTTTCCCTAAGTAAACCTTTTGTTTTTAATATAAGTGCTCACAAGTGCTATGCGAGCGGTGAGGTAAGGTCAGACTCGTAAATTGGGGTACACTGCTTCTTTGGGAGCAGGGGATCTGGGATTTCGGTGAGTAATCAGTGTCAGGGGCTGGATGTAACAAGGGGGATGCTTCAAGGAGACTACAGTGCACCTCTTGTTTACCTGCGAAGTAAAGACAGGGCTGGCACAGCTCAGAGGAGAGTGTTTGGTGGCTGAGCAACATAACTCCGTTGACTTAATTTTTGAGTGTAGACCTGGATTTAGGAAGAAAAAAAAAAAATCAAATGGACAACTACAAAAGGGGGAGCCCTGGCTAGCAGTAATACAACTGAAAAGGATCTGGGGTTATAGTGGATCACAGATTGGATATGAGTCAATACAATACAGGCTAATATCGTGCTGGGGTGTACTAACAGGAGTGTTGCACGTAAGACATGGGAGGTAACTGTCCTGCTCTACTCAGCACTGGTGAGGCCTCAGCTGGATAGTGTGTCCAGTTCTGGGCGCCGCGCTTTAGGAGAGATGTGGACAAACTGGAGAGAATCCAGAGGAGAGCAACACAAATGATCAAAGGTTTAGAAAACCTGATCTATGAGGGGGGGAAATGGAGCATATTTAGTCTTTACAAAAGAAGACAGGAAGGGAGGACCTAATAACATATTTCCAATATAGCAAGGGCAATTATAAAGAGGACAGTGATCATTTGTTCTCCATGTTCACCTACGGCAGGACAAGAAGTAATCAGCTCAGTTTTCAGGCAGGGAGATGTACGTTAGAGATTGGGAAAACCTTTCTAACTCTAAGGGTACGTCTACACTACCCGCTGGATCGGCGGGTAGCGATCGATCTATCGGGGATCGATTTATTGCGTGTAGTGTAGACACGATAAATCGAGCCCTGATCGCTCTCCCGTCGACTGCTGAACTCCAGCAGTGCGAGAGGCGGAAGCAAAGTCAACGGGGGAGCCGCGGCCGTCGATCCAGCGCTGCGAGGACGCAAAGTAAATAATTTTAATTCGATCTAAGATACGTCGACTTCAGCTACGCTATTCTCATAGCTGAAGTCGCGTATCTTAGATCGACCCCACCCCAGTGTAGACCAGGCCTAAGGATAGTTAAGCTCTGGATCAGGCTTCCAAGGGAGGCTGTGGCCTCCCTGTCCCTGGAATTTTGGATGAATAGGTTGCACAAATACTGGTCAAGGCAGGATTGGTCCTGCCTCAGTGCAGGGGGCTGGACTAGATGAGCTTGGGGGGTCCCTTCCAGACCAACTTTTCTTTGTGAGGAATGAATGGCGATGCTGTATTGCTCCCTGTCTCTCCAAAGATGGTTTGGGATGAGAAGAACCTAAATATAAGGAGATATATCTATCTCATAGAACTGGAAGGGACCCTGAAAGGTCATTGAGTCGAGTCCAGTCCCCTGCCTTCACTAGCAGGACCAAGTACTGATTTTGCCCCAGATCCCTAAGTAGCCCCCTCAAGGACTGAACTCATAACCCTGTACTTAGCAGCCCAATGCTCAAACCACTGAACTATCCTCACCCCCTCCCCAACTGCTACTGGAAGTATCTTGCCTGATACATCCTGGGCTTGTGTTTGCCTTTTCAATGGCCACATGACATTGGGGCTCATAGGTATCCCAGCAATGGTGTTTATAAAACAAAAAGGTTAGGACAGTAATGAAATGCCCTCCCCACTCCAACCAGTAGACCCCACATCCTCCCAGAGCTGGAAACGGAACCCAGCCATCCTGACTCCCAGCACCTCCTCTAACCCACTAGATCCCACTCCCACAACAGGGAATAGAATCCAGGTGTCTTGACTCCCGGCCCCCTGTTTTAACACACTAGACCCCACTTCTCTCCAGGTGCAGGGAATAAAACCCAGGAGTCCCGACGTTCATCCCTACTGCTGTTCTATCCCATTAGACCCCACTCCCTTCCTAGAACTGGGAATAGAACCCAGGAGTCCTGATAATAATCCAAGACCCCTGCTCTCGCCACCAAGGTCTGAGCTCCAAATTAAGCTTTCTTTCAAATTTATGTCTCAGGCCCATCCTGGGTATGTGTCTTCAGATGTCTTATGAAATTTGGCCAGTCACTAAAGCGCTTCCCATAGTTGGGACATTTACAGGGTCACTCCCCTGTGTGGATCCTCTGGTGCATAATAAGCCTGGAGCGAACACTGAAGCTCTTCCCACATTCATCGCATCTAAAGGGTCGCTCCCCCGTGTGGGTCCGCTGATGCTGGGTGTGGTTGGACCTCTGGCTGAAGCTCTTCCCGCAGATGACACATTTGTAGGGTCACTCACCAGTATGGATCCTCCGATGGCCTGTCAGCGAGGAGCTGTGGCAGAACACTTTCCCGCAGACAGGGCATTTGTAGGGTTTCACGCCCGTGTGGATCCTCTGATGCTCCAGGAGGTTGGAGGTCTGAGCGAAGCTCTTCCCGCATTCATCACACCTGTAGGGTTTCTCGCCTGTGTGGGCCCTGCAGTGCTTCATCAGGCTTGAGTTTTGCCCAAAGCTCTTCCCGCACTGGGCACACGTGTAGGGTCGCTCCCCCGTGTGGCTCCTCTGATGGCGATGGAGGTTGGAGGGGTCGGCAAAGCTCTTCCCGCACTGGGCACACATGCAGGGTCGCTCCCCCGTGTGGCTCCTCTGATGGCGAAGGAGGCTGGAACTGTCGGCAAAACTCTTACCACACTGCAGGCATTTGTAGGGTCGCTCTCCTGTGTGGGTTCGCTTGTGGTCTAGGAGCTTGGCGCTGTCAGCAAAGCTTTTCCCGCACTCACACCCATAGGGTCGCTCCCCGGTGTGGCTCCTCTGATGGCGAAGGAGCTTACAGCTGTCCGCAAAGCTCTTCCCACACTGGAGGCATTTGTAGGGTCGCTCCCCCGTGTGGGTTCGCTGGTGCCTCCTTAGGGTCGAGCTCTGCTTAAAGCTTTTCCTGCAGTCTGAACATTTATGGGGTTTTTCTTCCATGAGGGTGGGGTCGTCTTTACACTGGAATGAGGGGGTCTCTCTGCTGTCAACCAGCCCCGCCCTGATTCAGGCTGGTGTCTCTCCCTGCTCAGGGCTTTGGGGTCTCCCCGCGAGTGGCCTGTGCAGCTCTGGTCTCCAAGTCCCGGCCTGATGGGGATTCCCTGATCCTTTGTTCCCACCTTCGGGACAGGAAGAAAACACCGCACAGCTGAGCTAGAAACCCGCCTCCGATCTGGCTCGGGGGGGGGGGGACCCTGCTAGGCTCAGCTGCACAGACCCCCCCGCGCTGCTCCAGAGCTGGCTGGGGGGTAGAGGGGTCTCTCCGGTACCAGCCGCGTTTCAGCTCCGATCCCCCCGGCGCTGCGAACACTTCCCCAGGCAGCGATTTCCTGCCTCGGCGTCTCCCCGGCGCCCCCACTCACCGCCCGGCCGGCCGGGGCGAGCCCTTCCTGGGCCCGCTGCCTGCAGGCTGGGACTCGCCCCTCACGGCGCTGCGAGCCAGGCTCGGAACCCAGGCGTCCGGAGCGCCGCTGGGCTCACCCCCTGCTCCCGACCTGCCCTATTACAGCCCCCTTATGGCACCACGTGCCCCGGGAA